TGTTTATTATTTTTCTGCAGCTATCTTAATACATTTGATCAAGAGATGATGAAGATAGTAATAATATTAGCACAAGTTCTTTAAGCTCAACTATTACTATAATGGCTCCATAGAGAATCTTACCCTGCACTGAATTCATTTGGCTAGTAGGTGGTAACCCCGGTCAAAATAATCTCACCATGCCTTTGAGAAACATCCGAAAATTAAAATAATCAATTTTTCGCGAATGAAGTAACTGTCGTAAAACTGCCAGAAATTAATAGAATCTCCTGAAATTTAGCCATAAGAGAGATCACATACAGTAGACTCTTCCCGTGTGTATTTGTGAGAGCAGATAAAAATTCGAAGGAAAAGATCGGCTTCTAGACTTTCGGAAAATCAAAACGATATTTATATAACGATTAGCAAGCCCATATAAGTCTTTGTGAAGTTCTGTCCCATTTCAGTAACATTCTCGGCGGTAGATGGTCGGTAAGCAAGAGGATGGTGGAACGGTAACGACTGGCACCAGCACACCAGCCTGCACCACCGCCATCTCATCCACGAAAAACGACCTCAATACACGATGCAGTGCTGCTCTGCCGCCGGAAGAACAACAACCAGGACCATCCACACCTGTCATTTCAACTAAAGATGAAGTTATAGTAGAAACTAGCGACGGAGGTTTGGTTAGTTAGAAAAAACTTCTCCACAGGTTGAGTTCTCCACCAATAAGCTAATTGAAAATCCTCATCTTTTCAGTTCCTACTCAGTCGCTGTCGACTAGCAGCTGAGTCGCACTTCTTCCGCGCTCTGTTTCACGGCACATTTTTAGAATCAAAATCAAGCCGAGTAAGGTAAAGCTAGAAGATGCAGAACATGCCAACTTTGTCCAATTATCATTCTACACGTTTTTCGTGTTGCCATTCCACTATTTCGCACTTTCTTTAGCAGTGCGAAATTTTCGAATTTTGGCTTGAAGGCTTACAAAAAAGTCTTATAATAGGCAGTCGGCATGTTTACGACCTCTAAATATTTTCTAGGCTCTAACGCATTCATATAAGTCCACTGAAAACTATCATAATAATAAAAAGAACCGTCAATTGTTCTTCTCTGCTTTGTAGATCACGTTAAAATGATGTTTCAAAAAACCCTTGGAGAAAGAAAGTTTCGGAGAAGATGAAGAGATTACATTAGCTTCTTTAGCGAGATGCACCTTTTCTTTTCTTGTTCCTATTCAAAAACTAGTTACTTTGGTAAATCAATGTGATAAGCGCATCAGAGAGAACTATGATATGGAAGATGAATGCGTCATTGCACAGGTGAGGTCAATGAAACCAATGCGCATGGCTAATGTTGAATTCTGCATTCGCAAAAGTTTAGATTGCGGTATATTTCATTAACTGTGGCAGTAAAACTTGAAAGCAAGTTTACAATTTGTTTTCCTTCTTAAAGCGGGCAATATCTCGGTGCATCAAAAGTCACATTTAAAATTGTTTTCGAACAGGGCGCATTGATTCTGCGTAGTCTGAGGTGCTTTTAAGAAGTTAAGAGAGTTTCACTTTTTCACAACTAAGCCTTGGGATAACAACAAAAAGCTAGATTTACACACTTGTTCAAAGCCATCAACTCAGATCAGCGCTTCAAAAGTAGAATAACTAAATTTAGTGCGCAGATATTGCCTGTTCCTGATAGCGGGCAGAAGAAACAGCGCATAGAGGTTTAGCAGGCTCCCTACCCGGCGTCATTCGCAACATATACGTTTTCAATCATAGGTCAGAAGTTAACCATCTTTCAGAATATGCGTTGCGAACACCGTTTGCAAGGCTGCAAGCGAATCAACGAACACTGTTTGAAAATCCTAAATGAAACCGATTATGCGTACTACACGTACAACTATAGTCTCTGACTATCTGAACATCGTTAGCCAAGATTCAAACTCAAATTGTATTTTTCCATTTTGTCCAGTAAAAATTAAACATTTGAATGTGCACTCACTCAAACTGCCTTCTTGCGTTTGAGATTATGGGCAGCAATTATGAATAACTTTTGTTTATTTCGTTCTTTTGTTATGCTCTCCGATGTTCGAAGGCAATGCATGGCACTTTGGCTTTAATGTGCCGGCTCTTCTCCACCAACCTGTGAACGTTAGGAGTATAAACAAATGGAAAGCTTGCACTTTTCCCAAAATTAGTCAGCTTTCTAAGAAAACGTAGTGAAGAAATGCAAAATGTAACAGCCTTTTCAAGTTGATTG